GTTCCGAGGTACTTGAACTTTTCCACCTGCTCCACTGCCTCTCCGTTAATCTGAAGAGAGCAACGGGCAGCAGCAATCTGGCACAGGGCAAATATATGGTCACGGTGCTTCAATCGGACCGGAAGCAGCACTGCTCTTCTTTCATCTTGGAGTCAGTTATTCTGTGGCACCTCCTTTCTAGCACCTTTGCGTAGACTTTTCCTGGGAGGCTCAGAAAGATAGTGTCCCGATGACTGTGATTGGAGCACTTCCCGTGGTCTCCCTTCTTGAACAGTGGTACAGCAACCACCGTTTTCCATAGCAGTTTGAAAGACACGTTCAGAATTTCATCAATTTCAGCCGCCTTTCCGTTTTTCAAGATGTTTGCAGCTTGTGTAATTACATCTACAGAAATTGTGATAGTTGTTCCCAGCTGCTCTGCAGAGGACTCTAACTCCGTTGCTCGGAATTAAGTAGTACCTGAAACTACTCTTCATCGCGCGAAAGAATGTCCTTATCTTCAACAATACGATGTCCACGCTTGTCCTTTAAGACTCCTAGAGTGCCTTTGTTTTCGCATCGGAGCCAGTTGATGGTCTTCCAGAACACCTTGTATGCCGTATGGAATTTCGACCTCATCATCTCATCAAATTTCCACCAGGACTCAGCTTTGACTTTAGCCACTGCTGTAGATGTCGCTTTGTGCGCTTCTTCGTACTGCCTTCGAGTTGAAGACTCTGCTTCCAAGGCACTTCTTGAATACAGCCTTCTTCTCTTTAACTACCTGTTATACCTCTCATGTCCATCAGGAAGTTCTTTTCTGACTTACAGGAGGCAGGTCAATCCTTTTTAACGCGCAGGATTCGACGGCAGGCTTGATTAAGCCGCTCTTAAAGAGCTGGCACTCGGTTTCCATTTCAACGGTTATCGCCGGGATCTGTTCAAACTGTCGCGCGATGGTGACTGCATGTTTCTCTTTCATTTCGTACTCGCTGAAGATAATGTTTCCCATTTAATTCTCTGGTTGTTCCTCCTACAAGAGGGTGGTGATTGGTTGATAGCTCTGCGCCTCTCTTAACTCGAATATCCATTACTCAGCGCCTTTAATTAGACGATACGATCATCAAATCGATCATCGACTTCTGTCCACAAGTTTCCTGATACCAAGTATATTCAGGCACCATTCGATGCTCGAAGAAGGTGTTCATAATGGCCAGTCCATTGTTTGCATAAAACCGCAACATGCCGTTTTTGTTGAGGTCGCTAGGGCCGATTTTTGCAATCATGCATTTCCACTTTTCAGTGCCTTCTCTGTCATCGCCCATTCAAATGAGGACTGCGTAGTCAACACTTCGAACAGAGCACACTACAGATCCTCAAGGAAGGACTCATATGCTTCCTCCAAATTGGGCGCATAGACCTGTGACAAGGTCAACTAATTAGTCTGTTTTTGCTTCAGTGGAATGATTGCCTCGTTGCTACTCTTCCGCTGACAGGCTTCCATTCCAAATTTCTATCAGCCAGTCAAAGTTCTACCAGAACACCAGCACTGCCCTAAGCACCCGTTGAGCTAATATACTTTGAAACTATTCTCAACTGTTGAGCATGAGTCGAATCTTGCTTGCTTTGAGTGATTGTTGTTGCTCACAGAGGTAGAAGCAAAACGTTCAGAGTTAACCCAGCGTTCTAACAGTAACAAGTTAGCATATATGTTTCTTCTGAGCGGCTAAACACGTTCCTCATGATACTATATCTTCTTCCTATCATATCAGATCTAACATAGAACTGCTCATAAATCAGTTTCTTTTACATTTCTCTACCTTTGGTCAAGCTTGTGGCTACCCCCCCCTGTAGATTTTTCTATTAATCGTCCCCCGTTAATGATGTTCCCCTTTTCTATTTTGCGGATTCCTTCAATGTCGAGACCTCATTTCTTTGAAATTTATTGGGATTTTTTCCAATACGATGGCTTTGGATGAGCGTCTTTATTTCAATTTGGTCCTACATCATTTTTGCCATAATGCTTTCTGCATTAAGGAAGTGACAGTACTCTTAGCGAACAGCTATTATGTAATATTATGCAAATTTTATGAGCTATTCGTATTCAAAGTATATAAACTTAAGGTATCGAAATGGTCAGCTGCTTTCTCCAACTGAAAAAATGCGAATGCGTCACGCTGAAAACAAGTACACCCTGGCCATTACTGTAGCAGAAATCGAAGATGCGGGAACGTATAAATTCGAGGCTTTCGATGGCGTCAAAGTCGTATCTTCAGAAGCAGAAGCAACGGTTGAAGGTAGCATTATTTGTTTTAATTTATATTCCAAGATGTTTTTAGCCTCAGTAATATTTATGAAACGCATGATATCTGAGCGGTTGGTTGTTGGTTGTCAATCAACTCCACTTTTTCATCGTGCCAAATAAATTTAACCTTTGTTGGAACGACGCATGAACGTGCGCGCATTCTTTCCGACACTTTGCCATGAGCCTGAACATTATCTAAGTAGTTAAAACAGGGATATTTGACATAGTTTAACTTTATTTAAAACCTGTTTATGAATATTAGGCGAAAATTTAAGATTAAAAAATGGTAGGGTGGCGACTCTCCTATATGCTGTTGTGATTCTTTCAACTTAAGGTCAACAGGTAATAAAGAGTAAGAAATATAACGTTGAAAAATAATATTTTCCGTAGGCTAAATCAGAATGATACCATTCTTGGCACCTACCCCATGCCATTGTGGCTCTATATTACTTTCTGCTATTGTGAATGTTTATTATGATTCCTTTTTCGCCTTGTACCGAGGATGAGAGGAAAGCGACTGAACGAATATATGCAGTTTCATGCTGTTCAAAGGTGCGAGATTCAAATAACAAATTTTCTTTTAATAACTATTTCCCTTGAGCAAGGATATTACTCCAATGGGCTTTAGTAGAACCAGCAGAGAAATGCCTTACAAGTAACTTATTCGCTACCCGTTATCCAATAAGATCTCGTTACTGGTGCGTAATTTACGCAAGTCTAGGCTGTTGCATGTATTCCCTCTTCTTCGCTTTGTGCCTCAACCTCTAAGTACTTTGACCATCAGATTGTATCAGCGTGTTCTTGGATGACCAATTGAACGATTGTGGTCCAACAAGCCCAGTTGCACGTCGTATCGAGCTACATGTCCTGCCCAGTTTCTCCTGGCTTCGAAATCACGTCCGTTTTTGT